GCTCTCATAACACCTGAGCAGTGCCAGAAACTCATCGACTGCATACCACGCCGTATTAATGCAGTAATTGAGGCAAAAGGAGCTCCAACCAAGTATTGAGTATTGTACATGCTTATATTTTTCATTTTCATACTTTTCAGTTGGCCAACATTTCTAAAAAATCCCTTTTTTGTATTAGCCTTAAGTAATATTCTAATTTTGTGACACACAGAATTTTAGATTTTCATTTGTTGCCGCTTCAAATCATCAAAATTAAATGGAATAAACATTTGAAGGCATCAGTCTGTGTGCAATGAATAAATATAATGTACAAGTTACACCTTTTGAATGCAATTACTGAAATAAATCAACTTTTTCAAAATATTCTAATTTACTGGCTTTTACCTGTATAATCTATTCACAACAGGATTAAATGCAAGCTTACCCGCTGTCTGTTCAGTCCTTTGCTTCCTCAATACAAATCTTGCACAGCTTCTTCCACTGCCCGAGTAAACGGGGGCTTTTTAGTTTCATGATGCGATCCTCTGCTTAAACTAGGAAGTTTGTCTCACCTTTTGATTGACTGATTGATTGCACGTTGGTAAGCTGCGCGCTTACGCTTAAACAGCTGATGTAAACAAAAAGGGGGCCTTTGCCGCAACACCTCCCACTCAAGCTTTCTGTACTTGGACAGAAAGGTTGCAGACTATAAAGGCGAACAGCTTAAATGGTAGGGTTACTGCTCTTCTACAGGGAGTAGAACTACATTTCGTCTAACGTCTCTGCGCAGTATCACACCATTTGGTCTCTCTTTCCGGTCACCAGAAGATGAGGAGTGGGCCGCTGGTTGTGGAGGTCGGTCTGAAACATGGTTGCCTGGGGTGACAAGCACTTCAGCATCTCTGACAATGCCCTTTGGGTCAGGAGCTACAGTGACGACTCGGCCAAGTCTAAACTGGCCATGCAAGGCATTTTGAACATAGAGCCAAACAATATCACCGATAGATACATTTATCTCTGTGGTGTGCCACTTGGACCTAATGAACAGGTTTGGGCCCGCGAGCTGGCACCATGCCTTCCAGAACTTTTTGACATGGGTTTGGATCTCTCGGAGCCGCTTGTAGCGGTAGTTCTGGAAGTCAAAGGACTTGACATCACCTCCCTGGGATGCTCGGCCAAGGAGGAGCGAGTTAGGCGTTACGTCCTGAACGCAGTCCTCCCGACTTTGCACTCTTGCGTCAATGGGCCGCTCATTGGCCAGATTGGCTGCCATCTGGAGGGCTGTGAGGAACTCGCTAAAAGTGAGGTTTGACGGATCAAACCCTCGCCACTGCGTGCGTTGCGTCTGAGGTTGATTTTCAGATCAATGCATTACGTCGTGGCATACGGGAGAAACTTATGTTGACAAAATGAATGGGTTTTGACCAGATTTTGACCAAAGAGGAACTAAAAAAAAAAAAAAACAATTTAAATACACAACCAGCATATCT